GAATTTGAATGTGTCCGTTGAGGCGGAGCTTCTCATTGGTGCAGATAGCAGTTCATTCATGGCTATGTAGATCCTCCATTTAATGCATTTGATCTTGCATTAAATGTTTGCTTGCCAAATCTAAGTTACATGAAGTCCTTTATGTAGTTTTTTTTCTTTTATGTCTGACTTCAATCATAACCTAGGTAGGTATTTCTTTTTTCTTTCCATTAGTGTAGCTGCAGGGGCGTTGTCTTTTTATGAAAAGTAGGTGTACTTGCTCTGCCACTCATAGCTTTACCTTGTGAATTCGCGCTCTTTTATTTTTTCTTCTTTTCCTTTCATATTTTTTATGACTCCGTGTGTTCTTCTTATGAATGTAGACGATATATGATATTTCTCGTTGTGAATAGTGGACTTCAGACGCATTTCGACATTCTTCGTGTTTGTCTGGAAATTTGAGTCTCCGTCTAAGAGATAGACTTTGACTTTTCCTTTTGTCTGGTCAGCTGTGCAGACTTTTAACTCCGTCTAGGATGCTTCGTCTTAGATTATTCATCGTCTGATGTTTTGAACTTCGTCTAGTTGACCATTAGGCTCCAACTTTGTCTTGTTCTTAACTTAGCCTTGTTTGATGCTTATTTTGGCCTTTCATCTAATACTTCAAGACTTTGTCTTCTAGTATGCTTTGTCTTATATTATGCTTTTGTCCATGTTTTAGTCTTGATGCTTGATCATTTCGTTTGATGTTTCATTCATCTCATCCAGACATGGTGTGTACTCTATTTTTCAGTCTATTCTTATATTTATCTGACATACTAACACACGTTAGAAATAACAAAATGCATTATATTTTATCTTATTCAAAATCTTACAGGAAATTGTTTTGCCTGACTTAACACTATCATCATCATCATTACCCACCACCGTCACTAAAACAGTTATTGTTATCGCCACCACCCTTACTAGCGTTGACAACAACAATGGTGGTGGTATCAATAATAAAGATGGCGATAATGATGACAATGGTCATTATTGTCACCACTACAAGAAAAATGCAAATTTTTGACGAAAAATTTCCGACGAATATGGATCCGTTGAAAATTTTATATTTTCTGACGGAAAATTTTGGACGGAATTTTCCGTTTGAAATTTTCTGTTAGAAATTTCTTACGAAAATATAAATCCGTCAGAAATTTTTTATGGAAACTTTCCGAGAGAAAATTCCGTTGAAAATTTCTGAAAAAATATTCCGTCAAAAAATTTTGACAGATTTATATTTCCGTCGAAAATTTCATACGGAAATATAAATTCGTTGGAAATTTCTTATTTTTAATTTCTTATTTTTTATTTTATTTTTAATTCTTATTTTCATTTTCTAAAATTGGAATTTTTATTTTTAATTCTTATTTTTTATGTAATCATTTTTAACTACTTTTTATTTTTTTTAAAAAAAGATAAATAATTATCTTAGGTGTCACCTACAACAATTACGTACTATTATCGTATTGATATTTAACACCTCTAAATTGTTTTTAGTTTTTTAAAATAAATATTATTTATCTACCTTAAAATAATCAAACTAGCGAATTTATATTTTAGAGGGATGAAAATCTAAGAAAAATATTTTACTTATTTTACAAGTAGGAAACAATCTTTATAAATCTTACAAGGATGAAAAATAAAGAAAAAAATTTACAAAGAACAAAATCAAAATCACCCATCTTATAGGGACTAAAATATATTTAAACCTTCTAAAATTAATATTTTCGATCTTAACAATTATTTTAAATAAATACTATTTATTTTTAGATATTTATAAACTACTTAGAGATGTTAGTATATTTTCTTTAAAATTATAGTAAGCAAGTTCAAGTGTGAATATTTTCATATTTGTGTATTTCATGAGTTTTCTATTAAATAATTAGTGCATATATTAGTTTATTCAACATAAATAGTAGTTCTATATTTTAGAAGAAAAAAATAATTTTTTTATTTTCTAGAAGTAATAAGCTTAAAATTACACACACACACACACATATATAAAATATAGGAGGTTATAATTATACCGATGTAATTTTTACTAAGCATTACGCCGCTCAATAACTTTATATTAAATGTGAATTTTGTAAATCCAATCGTTAAATTGAAAGTTCATATCACTTTATACGTGTATATCAAATTTTGTTAAAGTTAAACAACAACTGGAAGGTAATCAAAGTGTTCATATTTTAGTGTATTTTGAAATGAATATATTACATCAATTTTTTTATAATAAATCATCTTGGATTAATATAACATTTTGTATATATGATTTAAGAGTAAAGAATTTTCAATTTAACGGTTGGATTTACAAAATTCACATTTAATATAAAGTTATTGAGCGGTGTAATACTTAGTAAAATTTACACCGGTGTAATTATAAACCCCCTATATACAAAATGTTAATAACTTTATATTAAATGTGAATTTTGTAAATCCATCCGTTAAATTGAAAATTCTTTACTCTTAAATCATATATACAAAATGTTATATTAATCCTAGATGATTTATTATAAAACAAAATTAAATCTGTCAGAAAATTTATATTTTCGATAAGAAAATTTTGTAGGAAAAGCTATATTATTGATGAAATTTATATTTGTCGAAAATGTAAGAATTGGTTTTAAATTTGATATGAAAATATTATGATATAATTAGATAAGATTTTAAGTTAGTATTTTATTAATGGTTGATAATTAAAAAATAAAACAAGAATAAATACATTTTTTGAATTTTATATGTCTTATTTAAGATAACTTACAAAATAACTCTTGGTAAAGTTATTCTGCTCAATAACTCAAAGTGTGTGTTGAATTTCATCAATCCAATTAATTGTTAAATTAAAAGTTATTAAATTTTACTAATAATTAATATATAAAAATTTAATTAGCTTTGGAATAAATTTAAATAAAGAATAATTAAATATATTATTATTATTATTATTATTTATAATATAAAATTATTATATATTATTATTATAGTACAAGTATGAGATTGTATATTTGAGGATAACTTAAATGAATTAATTTGTACAAGTTATACTGACAACATACATATACATTTCAGTAGCTTACTCATCAAAACTTCATAGTTAAGCGTGCTTGACCTGGAGTAGTACATGGATGGGTGACCTTTTGGAAAGTTTTCCAGAAATTGTGCAAGTAAGGATAAATAAACAGTGAAATGTCGTGAAATAGAACCCTTGAGAGGCTAAATATGAGGGTTGTTACATTAATAAATTTATTAAAATTAAAAAAAAATTATAATTTTCGTTGAAAATTTCCGACGGATTAAATTATTTTCGATGGATTTTTTTTTTCGACGCCACATTTTCTGAAGGATTTAAATCCGTCGGGAAAAAAAATCCGTCGAATATTTACTTGTTTCCGTCAGATATTTCCGTCGAAAATCAGCATTTTTCTTGTAGTGCACCACTATCATTATCGTTGTTGTCATTGTCATTGTTGACAGTGGTGGTGTAGGCAACAATGGTAACAATGACAACAAGGTTGATGACATTGCTATCACCACAATTACCATCATCGCTACCTCCACCACCACCACCAACTTGGTGGCAACAGTGATAATGGCTACAATAATAATGACGATGGTGGTGGTTTAGGCTCGATAGTGGCAGTGGAGGTAACAATGATGATGGTGTTGTTGTTGCTACTGGTAGTTGTAGCAGTGGACAGTAGTGATGTTGATAGTTGTGAAAGAGATAATAGTAATATAATCTTGTAAGAGAATATATATAATTAAGTTATTAATTATTTTTATTAATAATTTAAAGGCTATTATTTACTCCTTTCATCTCTTATAATAAGACATGTTCTCATTTGATACGCTCTCTTTCTCCCTGCCTCCCCCCCCACTCTCACTCTCACTCTCTCTCTCTCTCTCTCTCTATATATATATATATATATATATATATATAAGGAGGGAGAGAGATGAAGAATCCACTTAGTCTAAAAGTAAATCTTAATAAAAATAAATTACTTAATAACTTATGTTTTACATTGAATATCAACAATCCAACTGTTGAATTAAAAGTTCTTAATACATAAATCAAATCTATAATTTTTTTGAAAAAATAAAATAATATAATGTTTTATTTCATTAATTCAAATTAATAGATAATCATAAAAATATTTTATACATTGCTTTCAATTTATATAATATAGTATTATATGATTTTCAAATTTTTATAAAAATTATAAATTTAATCTATACATTTAAAATTTTTAATTCAATAATTAAATTATTAAAATTTAATGTACAAAATGAGTTATTAAGTGAAATAACTCTATCCAAACTTACTCAAAGTAATTGTGTACCTCCACACACAATAAATATAATATAGGTACACCCAGAGTAAATGTAGCATTGGTATACACACATATGTAATATTGGTTCCTTAGCTTCAAATATGTTTTAAGTGGTCTTTCTTTTAGTACAACTTTCAAGTGAGCATGCATGATCATGCTTTCGGCTAGGTAACAACCAAGTTCTGTTCTCCTATTAATTGTTTGACATGATCGTGGTCAGCTAATAACGAGCAACTTGAACAATTTATTGTTTTTAGGCGACAGCTTACACTACCATATTTCCGTGTGGTAGCCATTTTAAACATTTTGCAAGTTAACCATACTACAATATATAAATGAAACTTAAAAGTTTTCAGATATATTAATATTTTTGGCATAATAATATCCTCCTTCCATTCCATTTTGACATTTAAAATTTAGTACAAGAATTGACAAATACAATTAATAAGTCTGATTTCATAAATAACTAAATTATGTAACTTTTCAATATATCCTAAACTTTTTATAATATGATACGGAAAAAAAAATTAATGTTGCATTCATATCGTAAAACTATAATAAAATTGAAATTGACAAAAATTGTTAACGTCAAACAAAATGAAATGGACCGACTAAATGAAAAAATCAGTTAAAAAAAAAAAAAAAGATATAGGGAAGAAATTCGCGACATTCCATCCAGCTATGCAGTCCAATGTTTCAACTGCAATCTTGTTCTACAAATTAATCGGAAGTTTGCAAAAGCATTTGTGTACACAAGATTCATGGTGGTATACAACACATGAAATACCCAAAAACAATTGACAAAGCCACTAGAAAACACAAGTCTGACCATTTCTTTGGTTCTATAAATCACACCCACATAAAATCTTTCTCGGTCCAAGAAATATTAACATGGGGCGACCATGTTAAAAAAATCAACACAAATCAACTAGTAGAAGGGTTTCAAATCTCATATCTCATTTAAGTTTTCTTAACCAATCATTGCAGTTGCACAAGAACCAAACCCCCACATTTGACTTGACTTGGAAGTTCCAGCAGTCACATGCTTATGATCAGTGGCTAAATCATCTCCAAGGCCAAGGGTCGTCGTAGCATCCATTGTGAAGGCTAGGTTCTTGCCATGCCCAGAACTCAGGTCAGGCCAATCTGAAGCAAGCAAGAAGTCTGGACGTGTAATATTCAACAGGGACAGTGTTTGATTTTCACCATTAGGAGTCCAAACCTCGTCAACAGACTCTAATTTCAGAATGTCGCCTGCACGTGAATTAAGGAATTAGGGGGGACTTTATAAAGAATAAATATAGATCATTAGTAACTAACAAAGTTAACACAGGAATTAAAGAGAAAACCAACACATGCATTTTCATTAAAACTGACAAATAAATTTGTAGTGAAGTGATTTGCAAACTCTATCGTATAAAATAAGTATTAACAAGTTTTCAGGGACCCTAATATACCATGAAATATGCAAAATAATTAAGAAGTTTCAGAATGAGCTAAAGAAGTATGTGCACATGTATAGATGTGAAATATTTCCAATATCATCTTCCATGCCGCACATTGAAAATTACTAACCATTAAAGGTCTGAACGGGTAGCTGTTTGTCCAATGAATTTGCATTTGCATTAAGAGCAGGGCACTCGTTCAATATTGAAGTTGCACCAAATGGGGATACCGGATCAGCATAGTCTTCCCATTCTGTCTCGTGCACATTCAAAGCAGAGCTGTCTGCTCTGTCACCAGGGGTTGCAGTAGAAGAATTTGAACTCTTGTCAGAACAATGGTTCTTTGAACTGCTCAGAGTCCTTGCTTGATAAAGTAAAGCATCCAGAAGGCCACTATTTTGTGGAGAAGAACAATCTGACTCCAGAGTACTAATTGGTGTAGGAGACTGAATGAAATCATCAACTGACTCGAGCAAAGAAGGTGGGGGAGATGTACCCCAGCTACCTAAATCAAGTTCTGGATATTGGAGTGAAGGGAGCTCCAACTTCACAGCCTCATAAGTTGGCTTAGAAGTAGAGGAATTGCCATTTGAAAGTGAATGGCTGTAACAAATTGAGCTGTGCGAGGAGGGACCAGGATCAAGGGGTGCTGGCATTCCAAATGATTGTGCTATCTCATCAGAATTATTATCCCGAATTTGATCAAATGGATATAAACCATTTCTGCTCATATCACTGGAATCAATAAATGGTATTGTTGACTCTCTAAGACGCTTATGCTTAGGTGATGTTGGTGGCACAAAACTACAATACTGAGAAGAATCAAAACCTTTCAGCATATTGCCATAGACAGAAATATCAGAAAGCTCAGGCATATAAGGTATGATTCCCTGATTATCCTTCAGACTGTCAAATATAGAATCTTGTATCTCATAACTGTTTTTCTGCAAGAAATCAGGATGCATTTTATTGTCCCCATTAAGTCCACCAGAGCTTTGGCTATGTTGACTCTCTTGTAAAGCTTGTAAACACACTTCTGGTGGATAAAGTGGCAATCCAGCCCGTTGACGCCTCTTGATCCGGGTGTTCCAGTAGTTTTTTATCTCATTATCTGTACGACCAGGCAACTACAAGCAAAAGCAGTTAACCATTATAATGGATTAGTGGGGGCCGGGGGGCAGATAATATAGGAAAGAAATAATTGTAGAATAAACAGATTCCCACAATCAATATTTTGTGTGCAACACATGATAGCCATACTTGAAATGTTTTAATTCAAAGTACTGAAATATTTACCCACAAATTATTGTAAGTCGCTGAATAATTTAAAGCCCTAAAAATTATGAAGTGTATATGAATTAATTCAATATAAAAAATGACACTTCTCAAAATTCCATATACGCACATCACTATGATTACCATAGATGCAGAAATTCACACTTGTCTATTATCAACTGAAAACGCTTTATTTAATACAATGGTTGTGAACCAAGTCATTTTGTTCCTAGTCAAGGGGCAAGGGCATCCAATAGAATGTGACATAGGCAACCTTCTAAATCTTAAAAATGAATAGTCACCGTGATGTAATTTTATTATATACCATGTAAAAAAAAAAATTATTAGTAACCTGATTAGCAATTGAAGTTGTAGATTCAATTACAAATCAATTGCAAAGACAGAAAATTATTGTGTTGTAATGAATGTCTCCCAATTATCATACCATAGTACTGGTTATTGAAATCTTTAAATAAGTAAGATGATATCCAGAAAAATTTACAAAAGATTATTGATCGAGTAAAAAATTGACATAAAACATATTGCACCATTTTAATGATACTTATAGAGAAACGTGTCTTTGTGCATTAGGAATCTTACAACAGACATGTAATGTATTCTACCAAATTGGTTAGTGTAGACCTTTACGTCAGCTTATCACCTATTTGCATATAGTCATCCAAATGCAGTTTATTTATCAACAGTTTTCTTCATTTATGCATGTATTGGTCATTGTATGCCATCAAGAGATACAACTAGCTTGTCCCATACTTTTAGGAAGAAGTCTAAAAGATAAGAGGGTTATCAGATGTAAGTTCCTTGATACAATACAAAGACGTAACTGTAGTGACATCACTAATAGCAAATAGAATTTGAAGATTTCACAAAAAACAAATATATATATATATATATATATATATAGACACACACATAAATTATAACTATAACTAACTTTGCAAGGCAAAGACAACTTTTACAAAATATGCTTACATGTGCTGCCATGCGTGCCCATTTGTTTCCCATTTTGGCATGAAGTTCAGCAATCAACCGCTCCTCTTCTGCAGTAAATGCACCTTTCTTCAAATTTGGCCTAAGATGATTAGCCCATCGCAGCCGACAACTTTTTCCACAACGTAATAGCCCTGTGTGCTTCTGAACAGCATTCCAGTTCCCCTCCCCATGCTTCTTGACATAATCCACCAAAATATCATCTTCAGTTGATGTCCATGGTCCTTTCTTCAGAACAACGCCAGCACTTCCTTCAGAACCCTCATCATTCAGCTGTGCCCCATTCAGCTGTGCCCCAGTCTGATCATTGGGAAGCACCTCATCTTCATTAATGTCATTCTTCAATCGTCTCATCTTTTATTATATAATTTCTGCCAAAATATTTCACAACCACAAAGGAAAGCCTTAAAATTTATGAAAGCAAAACAGAGTAAAACCAAGGAAAGTCCTAAATTTGCTTTCAGTTTCACAGCCACTTCATTTTATTTTATTCCTTTATTTTTAGATATTTCTTTGGCATAGGGAAAGGAGCGACAAACCACATTAAGATAAAATGAGCAGAATAATAGTAAATCAATCACACAAAAAAACAGAGAAAACAAAAAATAACCTTTATGAAGACACTTCAAAAGGTAAAAGAGAATTACCATGGCAGTTAAATTGAAACCAAAAATAATTGAAATCACCATATTACTCCCTCCATTCCATATAGATTAATGTTTAATGTTTTTGCATGTAAATTAAGAAAAACAACTATTCCAAGATAGTACTAGTATTTATTATAGGTTAATTTTACTAAAATATCCTTATTCTATTTATACTTATATAAATGCATTATTAGGTATTCCAATAAATAGTAGTATTTATTAGGAGTAATGATACACATAGATACGGAGTGCAGTACATTTATTTTTTGTCCATCTCTCCATAATTAATAAATGTAATCAATGATCTGATCATTCTGATGGAGAAAGATAGCCACACAAATAATGTTGTAAAAATTGTTATACAAGTAAAATTTCTCATTTATTAGGGGCACAAGTTGAATAGAAACTCTAATATTTCATTGAAATTAAAACATCGATATGCGAATTTGTTTTGAATGCTAAAACATTTTATATAACACAAAAATTAAAATTGTTGCTTGAGACAAATTTAATGTTATCAACTAAATTAACCAACTTCTTTTTATCGTTAGTAGGTATTATTATAAAATGGACTAGAAGGAGTAAATCCATATAGAAGGGAGGGAGTATTATATTAACCAAGCAACTCCATCCCCTTATAAAGATGAACAACGCTAAGTAAAGCAATAAGCATAAATACCCAATAGCAAAGTTTCTACTTCAGCAAATCTGACTCCGAGTATTTAATGATACTCTCCTCTGGACCATGAAGGCACAAATTTTGCAGACCCAGAAAGGAAAAAAACCCATCACAATCCATTTAAGTGCGAAACTAATCATGCTTACCCATAATACCCAATAAGGAATCAAGCATATAGAAATTATGCTACCACTCATCACATGATCATTGCACACGGAAAACCACCGCACAGTTCCCATCCCTTAAAACCCACAAACAAAGGCCAAGCACACACACACACAACACGGAATTCATTCTTCCCACCAACCCAACACCCCAAATCCGGTCACCACAACACAGTACACATTTATTACAATATTAATTATAACCCAGCAAAAAAGAGAAAAAGAAAAGTAAAAAAGTAAACGCATTTAATACTTTCGTTAGTACATTTATCAAGAAGGTTTTAAAAAACGGTCCATAAAAGTTCTTTGGGTTTTGCGGTTGTGTTTCTCCGCAATTTTCCGCAACAGTATTAAGCAACGCTACGAAACCCCACCACAATTTAATTAAGACGAATTAGAATTTTAATTTTAATTTTAATTTTAATTTTAATATTTATATATATTTAATAGATCGAAAAATTCCACCACACAAATTTAAGGGCAGGACGAAAACAAGAAGGGGGAAAACAACGAACGCTACAAGACGATACCTCGGAATAGGACGCGACGCTAAAGTCCAAAAACGAATCGTTTTGGCGCGCGGCGAATCGGAAGCGAGTTGAGCTCAGAAACTGAATGGAACAGTGAAAAGTGAAAACCCTGTTCCTAAAATTGAAAGAAAGGAAATTAAAAAAATAATAACAATAATAATAATAAAACAAAAATTAATTTCATTTTCATGTTGTTAGCGAAAGCGACGCGGAAAATGGGAATGAACAGCGAAGGCATCAAAACGGTGCGTTTGAGGCGTTTTCAGCCCTAAAAGACTAACCTCGGGATCGGAGCGAAAGCGAAAGGCGAAATTGGAGAATTGGAAGGAAATTGGAGATGAGGAATTCACAGCGACACTCGAATCTGTAGAGAGAGAGAGAGAGAGAGATGGGAATTGGTGAGTGAAGAGAGAGAGAGATAGATAGAGAGAGGTGGAAATGGAAAGGTGCTACTACCAACACCACCTTTCACTTCTTCAATGTTTCTAAATCAATGTTGTGTTGTACTCTCATTATTGAGTTCTTCAATTCCGAGCATTCATTTATACCTTTATTTATTAATTCTTTATTAATAAATCACAGAGGGTTTTAATTAATGTGTCAAGAATTAAAATCATGTAGGTATCTTTTCTTTTCGGATTTTAAAGAAATAGTTAAAAATTTACCATACTCTATATAGAAAAATATATAATTAACATTAAGAGAAGAAATTTTTTTAGAGATGATCAATCATAAAGATTAATTATCGACAAAATCAATAAATATTTCATATTAATAATATAGTTATAAAAAAAATATAATTAAGAAGAAAGATATTATAAATTAAATTAGAATATTCTTTTTTATAATTATATTATTAATATAAAATATCATTACTACAAGATGCATATTCTACATCGATTTTCAGGAAAATTGATGTAAATTTATGTATAAATTTATATCGATTTTCTTGAGAATCGATGTAGATTGCCTTTTTTAAAAAAATCATTCTTGTTTTTGGATTCTTTCTGATTACCCGTAATAAACATATATATAAATCTCAAACAAATTTTTCGTCTATATATAATGGACAAATATTGTCAATCAAGATTAACTTGGCCACTAAATTACAGTAACAAAAACCACACAAACAAACATAATGATTAATACAGTTGTTGAAGCTAAACAAACACAATGATTAAAAGATAAATCATAAATAGCAAGCCAAGATGTTACTAGACCACGCAAACAACATCAAGATTAACAAATTTATTTTTTCTTCCAAAAAAGTGGTCCATAAGAGTCAGATTTGCATAACAACAAAAGTAGCATTGCATTGTTAAATTTGATCATGGAGTAGGATGTAGGAAGATGAATTAGGTAGAATACCATAAGACAGAGGTTGTGATCGACCAAGTGAAGCTAAGTTACAATTGGCTCTTCTTCCATCAATAACGGGTGTTGGATCAGCACACGCTCTCCTTGTAGCCTCGAGATCCCGAAAAGTCACCTATACCCTCGAATTCCATGCAGGTGAGATGGAAACCAAGTCATTCTATAGTAAATGTAACGCAATCCCAATCACTCAAACCAGCAAAAGTTTTCATTTTGAATAACAACAAGTTGGCGTGTTGTGTAGTGGCAGCGCCAGCGCCAGCAGGGTAACAAAGAAATAAAAAAGATACTCATGAAACCATAGCCCTTGGATCGGCCGGTGTTCTTATCGGTGATGACGACGGCCTCGTGAATCTTGTAGAATTTCTCGAAGAATTGGTTCACCCGAAACAGGTTCAGTACGGATCTGATTTTGCTCTAGATTTGCTCTGGGTGGATCTCAAGCTCGTCCAGAGCAGCTCCTCATCGTCGAAGTTGGCGCTGGCGCTGCCCATGGCGGGGCCGCTATATATTGGCCCAAAAGAGGTGGATGTTGGGGCGGAGCCTATTTCGAAAGACATGAAAGGGATGTCGGAGTTTGGCTGGAACGGTGAATTGGGCACGTGTCGCTGTTGGAGGTTTGGGCCGGCGTGGTGGGGTTTCCAGCGGAAAGGAAAGCTACTGGCGGGACTTTGAACTCTTTATTAGCCATGTGATGAGTTATTGTTTTCCCTTATTTATTTATCTTTTTGTACTTATTTTAATTGTTGATTTGGGCTTAATCGCTTATTAATTGTACAGTTTTACTATTTGGGCTACATTTTTGTTAACCTTGTTTTAGTCATTTCGGGTCAAACACATGGGAAGGAGGCCCACTTTCGTTTTAGGGTTTCTTTTAGGTCTTAGGACTGACCATGCAGCCACTAACTTTGGAGACTTGATGTGACCATGTTTTTCTCCTTCCTTTTTTACGTTTTCTCTATTCTAGAGCTCATTTTTCTGGACGTTTTTCTTTTGCTCTTCTCTGGTTGTATTAAGAAACTGAACCTTTACATTGAAGCAATACCAGATTATTCATTTCTTTTTCTCCCTCTTCCTTGCATTTTCGTTTTCGTTTCTATTTTAATGGAAGGCTAAAATTCCTGGGGTTGACTCCTTGTTATGGATTGTAATCTTTGTTTGAGGTTGGGTATGTTTTGTATATCTCTGTTCTACTTGTTCATTCTTCATTAAATCTATGTATTAATGTGTTCATGCTTAATGGGCTGTCTTTAATGCCACAGTTTGCTCAATCTTGTGAAGAGGTTCATTGTTGTATACGTTTGCTTAATTCGTGTAGCGAAGTCTTGAGTTAATCTTCGCTTAGTTGGTTAACTCGGATGGAACAAGGATTAAGTGGTTGACAGAGTAATCTCGTGTGAACCAAGGATAAGAGAGTTACAATTTGAACAAAGAGTGAATCTGTTTTAATTGATATGTTAAATTGAGTTTTAGTGTGTTTTAAACTGAAAAATCTGAACCAAACCCCCCTTCGTGTTTGAACCTTTGACAGAAAAGAGTGGCCCTTGGGAGATGACCTAGGAAATCCTCCTAGTACTACATTTTCTTATTTTTATTTGACTGGATACGACTTTGATCAAATTTGGCATCGTTGTCGGGGACCATCAGTTCCTGTCAAAGGGTGTGTTCTTTGTTTCTGTTGAAAGTGTCTTGTTGTGTGTTTTGTGTTTTTGTTAGTAGTGTAGTGTTTTAGAGTCTCTATTATGTTCTATGTGTCTTAGTATATCAGTATATCAGTATATTAGTTTTAGTGTATCAGTTTTTATGCAGTATATCAGTTTCATGAATTAGTTTGATGCTTGCATTTTCGTGTCTTATTAGATGTTATGTTGTGCATATGTGTTTGTTATTAGTTCCTACAGGTCTAGCAAGTATATCAATTGAAGAATTCATGTTGTTGAGTCTCATGCAACTAGAGAACCAATGGAACAGTAACTCGAATCTGGTTTTTGCTGCATTTGTTGTCATGTGTTTGTGATAACTACTCTTTATTGCATTCCATAGCTCATTAACCATCTATATATTGATTCCATTTAGTGTGCTGAATCATCATTGTGTTGTGTTGAGTTTCAAAACATGCAAGGTTCACAAGTGCAAAATCATAAATCAGCTGGAAAGGATTTTTACTAGATGAATAGTAACTAAAATTTTCCAATTAATTGGGATTTTTGGTTTTGATAGCTAGACTTGTTATTTTTTCCTCAAATTTTGTGTGGTAACTTCTTTCAACCCATATTTTGTTTGAAAAATACCAGAGGCCCTCAAGGTGGTTCAGATTTGGAGATACAAAAATTTGTGAAACCAGATTTTTCCAAAACTTCAAATGGCCATAACTTTTGCTCTAGTTATCAAAATTGGAAAAATTATATATGCATTTTGAGTAGAAAAATGAGATTTATCAAACCCAGACTAATACGCTGTCTGTCCCTAGCTAGATTTTTAAAATCCGTTTACTATTTTTTTTCTTCTATTTTTCATGTTTTATTTCCCTATTTTTTCAAACTTTTCATAGGTTTTTCACATAGTTAGACTTTGAATTTTGCTTTGAAATTTTTTGTGGTAGTTTCTAATGATTTTAGGATGATATTGGTGCATTGGTTTTGATGGTTTCCAATTTTTCATGAGAATTCCCATTTTGCCCCTACTATTCATGTGGTAGTTGCATGTGATTGAATGTAGTGCATGACTAGGAGAAATCCATACACTTTGCATCCATTTGATCCTAAAATAGATAGAACATACCTTAGATTAGTTAGAGAGCATATAGTCCCACCTTCTGAGAGTGATACCCATAGTGTGAGTGTAGCATCTGAAGTTGACTCAATAGAAAACATGGGTGACCAACCTGAACCTCGAGAGAGAACACTTAGGGAGATGGATGCACCTGATTTCACATATGAGAGTTTGTGCATTCAATACCCTGAGGAAGATGTTCCTTTTGTTCTTAAAACTGGACTAATCCATTTGTTGCCCAAGTTTCATAGTCGTGCAGGTGAGGATCCACACAAGCATCTCAAGGAGTTCCACATAGTTTGTTCCACCATGAGACCACATAATGTCCCTAAAGATCACATATACCTGAAGGCATTCCTTTTTTCATTGGAGGATCTTGCCAAGGACTGGTTGTACTATCTGGCTCCTAGTTTAATAACAAGTTGTGATGACTTGAAGATAGTGTTCCTGGAAAAATTCTTCCTTGCATCCAGGACCACTGCAATCTAAAAAGATATATCTGGAATTAGGAAACTCATAGGGGAGAGCTTATATGAGTACTGGGAGAGATTCAAGAGGTTGTGTGCTAGCTGCCCTCACCATCAAATTTTTGAGCAATTATTATTACAGTATTTCTATGAGGGGTTAAACATAATGGACAGAAGCATGATTGATGTAGCTAGTGGAGGAGCTTTAGGAGATATGACACCTGCTTCTGCTAGGGGCTGATTGAACAAATGGCATCCAATTCACAACAATTTAATATGAGGAGTGATGCCATAGTTGTGAGAGGTGTCCATGATGTGGGAGCTTCTGAGTTAACAGAACATAAGACGCTGAAGAGTAAGATTGATGCTCTCACCACCTTAGTCTCTTAACTTGCTACAAGCCAGAAATCTGTTGCACCAGCAAAAGTATGTGGCATCTTCACTTCAATTAATCATCCAAAAGATGCTTGTCCCTCCTTGCAAGACTCTTCTGCAGGTCTTGATGCTCCACAAGCATATGCTGCCAACATTTACAACAATAGACCTCCACACCAGCAACAACAAAATTATGATCTGTCTTCCAATAGATACAATCCTGGTTGGAGGAATCATCCCAACTTAAGGTGGAGAAACTCTTAGTAGTAGAAAAATTAAGCACCTTCCCAGAACCATCCCTCAAGTTCTTCATACCAGCCTCCTCAACAGAGACGTCCTCTTGCATCTGCACCTCCACCTCAACCTTCTACTTTTTTTGAGCCTTCATTAGAGGAGTTGGTGAGGCAAACGACCATCCAAAACATGTAGCTTCAGCAAGAAACTAGAGCCTCCGTTCAGAGCTTGACGAATCAGATGGGGTAGATGGCCACTCAACTCAATCAGGCACATTCTCAAAATTCAGATAAGTTGCCTTCATAGACTGTGCAGAATCCAAAGAACGTGAGTGCCATCACCTTGAGGTCTAGAAAACAAATTGACATACCAGTACCAGTACCTACACCTTCACCTGAGCCTACACTTGACAAAGAGGCCCCTGCAAGCAGTAGCAGAAAATCTCATATAGGTGGACCTTCTTCCAGTGCACATAGTGGTGATCTGCAACAGCCTCCTATCCCTCGTCCATTTCCTCCAAAATCAATGCCAAGTAAAAAGCTGGAAGAGGTGGATAAGGAGATATTGGAGACCTTTAGGAAAGTGGAGGTGAACATACCTCTGCTGGATGCCATCAAGCAAATTCCCATATATGTTAAGTTCCTAAAAGAGTTGTGCACCCACAAGAGGAAGCTGAAGGGCAATGAGCGAATCAATATGGGCAGAAACATCTCAGCACTAATAGGTAAATCTGTTCCACACATTCCTGAAAAGTGTAAGGACCCAGGTACATTTTGTGTACCTTGCATTATTGGTAACAGTAAATTTGAAAATGCCATGCTTGATTTAGGAGCTTCAATTAATGTCATGCCTCTGTCTATCTTTAAATCTCTTTCTCTTGGACCCTTGCAACCTACGGGTGTGGTCATTTAGTTGGCCAACAGGAGTGTTGCCCACCCTATGGTTTTGTAGAGGATGTCTTGGTTCGAGTTGGTGAACTTATTTTTCCTGCAGATTTTTATGTTCTTGATATGAAGAAGGGATTCTCCCATGGTTCTGTCCCAATCATTTTGGGTAGACCATTTTTGAAAATAGCCTGGACCAAGATTGATGTTTATGCTGGCACCTTATCTATGAAATTTGGTGATATTATTGTTCATTTTAATATTTTGGATGCCATGAAATTTCCTTCTGAAGCTTATCGTCTTTTTCATGCTGAATTGATTGATGATCTAGTTGATGAGCACATTCATGATTTTGATTCTTCTCATGCTAAGAAACATTCATTTTTATTTGATATGTATAGCTGCCTTTCATGCATTGAGTCTGAGTCTGAGTCTGAATCTGGATATGAGTTTGGATGTGAATTTGATTGTGATGAGGCATCTAAATTTGATACTTTGGGTGATGTACCTCTTGGTCTTGAATTTATAGAGTCAGAATGTACTAACCATATTACAGGAAGTACAAAAGAATCTGACTTACAGGTTGAGGTACAGGTTGCGGAACCACTTATCCCCTCTTTAGTTCCTTCTGATGTTCAGCCAGCACCCACACCAGAGTTGAAGCCTCTTCCAGAAAACCTCAAGTATGCTTACTTGGAGGACGATGAGAGATTTCCTGTGATCATTTCTACACCCCTTGATGTTGATCAAGAAGATAGGTTGTTGCATGTGTTCCGGAAGCACAAGAAGGCAATTGGTTGGAACCTGGCAGATATTCCTAGAATTAGCCCATCCACGTGCATGCATAGGATACTATTGGAGGATGGAGCTAAACTAGTGAGATAGCCACAAAGGAGACTTAACCTAGTGATTCTAGACATCGTAAAAAAGGAGGTGACCAAGCTTCTACAGGTTGGGATCATCTATCCCATTTCTGATAATCAGTGGGTGAGTCCAGTCCAAGTGGTCCCCAAGAAGACAGGCCTCACTATTGTTAAGAATGAGAGAGATGAGCTCATACCCACCAGAGTGCAAAACAGTTGGAGAGTCTGTATTGAATACCGAAGGCTCAATCAAGCAACAAGGAAAAATCATTTTCCTCTGCCCTTCATTAATCAGATGGTTGAGCGTCTAGCAGGTAAATCTCATTATTATTTTCTTGATGGTTTCTCTGGTTACTTTCAAATTCACATTGCTCCTGAAGATCAGGCAAAGACCACATTCACTTGCCCCTTTGGCACTTTTGCCTATAGGAGGATGCCCTTTGGCCTATGCAATGCCCCTGGCACATTCCAGCGGTGCATGCTTAGTATTTTTAGTGATTTTCTTAAAAATTGCATAGAGGTGTTTATGGATGATTTTACTGTTTATGGATCCTCTTTTGATGCATGTTTGTATAGTTTGGATAAAGTTCTGAATATATGCATTGAGACTAACCTTGTTCTTAATTTTGAGAAATGTCATTTCATGGTAGAGCAGGGTATAGTTTTAGGACATATCATTTCTAGTCGGGGCATTGAGGTAGACCCTACAAAAATATATGTTATTGCACAATTGCCTTACCCCTTGTAGACCCCTAAAATTGTCTGGGTCAGAAATAAGACTCGAAGACTCTTGAAGACCGAAGGGAAGTCAGCCGGAAGGACTCCTGGATGACCCTGGAAGACCTTAGGATGCTTATCTGTAGGTTTAGAAATTGATCGGATAAACTATGACTGGGCGAGTATAAATAATTCGAAGAACTCGTGATTGATCGGTTAAATTTCGACTGGGCGAGTATAAATAACTCGAAGAACTCGTGATTGATCAGTTCAATTCTGACTAGGCGAGTATAAATAACTCGAAGACCAAACTCGTGATTGATCGGTTAAATTCCGACTAGACGAGTATAAATAACTCGAAGACCAAACTCGTGATTGATCGGTTAAATTCCAACTGGGCGAGTATAAATAACTCGAAGACGGGCGAGTATAAATAATTCGAAGAACTCGTGATTGATCGGTTAAATTTCGACTGGGCGAGTATAAATAACTCGAAGAACTCGTGATTGATCAGTTCAATTCTGACTAGGCGAGTATAAATAACTCGAAGACCAAACTCGTGATTGATCGGTTAAATTCCGACTAGACGAGTATAAATAACTCGAAGACCAAACTCGTGATTGATCGGTTAAATTCCAACTGGGCGAGTATAAATAACTCGAAGACCAAACTCATGATTGATTGGTTAAATTCCGACTGGGTGAGTATAAATAACTCGAAGAACTCGTGATTGATCGGTTAAATTCCGACTGGGCGAGTATAAATAACCCGAAGACACCATAATTTGAATGGTATGTTTCTATCAATCAACTTAAAATTTGACTTAGTTCATTTTCCCATTTTCCTAAGATCAGAATTTGGATGGTCACGCTTTACAAGACATGGATTGTAACTTAGTTTATTTTCCCATTTTCCTGAGATCGGAATTTGGATGATCACGCTCTAAATATCAAAAATAAGCTTCTTAAATTAGTTTATTTTCCCATTTTCCTGAGATTGGAATTTGGATGATCACCCTTTACAAGACATGGGTTGTAACTTAGTTTCTTTTTTCCCATTTTCCTGAGATCGGAATTTGGATGATCACACTTTACAAGACATGGATTGTAACTTAGTTTATTTTCCCATTTTCCTGAGATTGGAATTTGGATGATCAAGCTTTACAAGACATGGATTGTAACTTAGTTTATTTTCTCATTTTCCTAAGATCGAAATTTGGATGATCACGCTTTACAAGACATGGATTATAACTTAGTTTATTTTCCTATTTTCCTGAGATTGGAATTTGGATGATCACCCTTTACAAGACATGGATTATAACTTAGTTTATTTTCCCATTTTCCTGAGATCGGAATTTGAAGGGGTGCGCGTGAGAAGGGGTGCGATAGCAGCGCGCGTGAAACACCATGATGGGAGTTGTATCCGGTCAAATAAAACAATTAAATGCAGTACTAGGAAGTTGTCCTAGGTCGTCTCCCAAGGACCATTTTTCTCTGTCAAAGGCATAAACACGAAGTGGGGGGGTTTGGTTCAGATTTTTCAGTTTATAACACAATAAAACGCAGATAACACAACAAGTAAAATAGATTGGCTCCTTGTTCAGATTGTAACTCTCTTATCCTTGGTTCACAATGAGATTACTCTATTAACCACTTAATCCTTGTTCCATCCGAGTTAACCAACTAAGCGAAGATTAACTCAAGATTTTCCTACACGAATTAAGCAAACGTATACAACATCAACCTCTTCACAGATTAAGCAACTGTG